GTAAAATTAAAAAAAACAGAATGATACATAATGTACTAGGACTCTAGAAGCCGGGGTTGAAGAGGGGTGTTCTTGTACATCATTGGTCACAGACCGCTAAGATTGCAAAACTTTGACGGGGTAGGATGCCCAAAGGTTGAACCGGTTGCATTATAGTGATGCAATCGCTCATTACGCAATTTCCAGCAAAAAGTCATAAATCATTATGTGACATATTATATGACAGAACAATTCGTGCAGGTACCCATGTAAGTGATGCTGCTGTGATGCTCCCGTACTCGAATGCAGCTATGTCATGCGCTTTTATCCTGGACTGCCTGCCTTCAGTCAATACCACTTCAGTCAATACCATTGAGGCATGTGCGCCATAAAATCTTAGCGCAAAATTTTATCCAAAAATTTTCGAAATCCAAGAAAACTTACATGCAGGATGGTTTGCTGAATGCTGTCGAGCATGGGCCGACGTTTTTTGAAATGTAGTTTGATCTGTCTCTCGGCAAGTCGATAATTTCCCGTTTTTCTTGCCAGCCGCGCCATCCCAAGATGGTAAGATGGCTCATCGGCGATCATATTCAATGATGAGCCTGATTCTCGTGTTTGCGTATGCTGTAGCCATATGCTGAGTTGCTGAGCCACCGCGATACGCTGAACTGCGGAACTGCTTTTCAAATCAAACAGAAATGACGGTTCGAAAATGTTGACATTAACCTGAAATTTTGGTTTTTTGGAGGGGTGAATTTCTGCTTCTGAAAATTTGAACATAAAGTTGAAAAAGTTCAAAACTTCATAAGATCTGAAAATTTTGTCTCTGACTTCTGAGCTTTCATTTTCTAAAAAAATTTGCAAAATTTGCAGGATATTCAAACATTTCTCGCCTAGCAATTATGAATTACATGCAGAAATCGACTATAAAAATACGAAGCCATAAAAAAGAAGCTGTATTCATCAGCGAATGCTCGAAATATTTACTCTTCTCGCAAAGTGGATACACTTGGAAACTAACTCGAGTGGTGGTAAAACCAAATGATAATAATAAATGATAATAACAAAAACTACGCACGTTTAAGCAAACAAGTGTTGCTATTTGTGCCCGATGTCTGTGTTTCATTCCTAAGCTGCACACCCCTGACGAGGAAAGAAGGAATACAAAATAGATTCAAATAAAGTAAAATTCACTAAAATTCTTCCCGATAATAATCACTAATGAAAAAATTCAAAAAAATGTTTGTACAAAAAAGTGCGGATTAAAAGAAAACTGACCAGCTGTTTGTGATTCGGTTTTCGGCTATCTTTAACAGCTGTGGCCAGCAGATGGAGTACGCTAGCCTGCGTATGCAACTGTAAGCTCGTATCTCCGAGCATTAAAATTTTCGCATCATCACCCAGCTGTCGTGTCAAGTCCCCAATTCCACTCCTACAAAACCAATGCAAAATTACTACGCTGTATAATTATACATGTACCTCATCATGGCTAATGATCATTGGAAGAGTTGGGAACGAGATGCGGATTTTCAAATGCACATCAAGGATATCTCGAAACAACTAAAACTTTGCCAAATTCGACAAAACTTTGAGTTGGTAAACAAAACTCCAGATTTTTACGACTTTATAAGAAGTTTTTGATCTATACATCATACACTGTTCCTTACGGTTCTGTGGTTTTCGTTACAAAACGTCGTCTAGCTCAACACTGACATTCCTATTTGGAATAATTGTTTCTTGGCTGGGCCTTTACGGCCTTTTCCACCCTTCCTATCCCTGCAAGAGAAGAAACGAACGTGGAAATCACCAGCAGATTGACCACCACACAATGCAACATTGGTCAAAGCAAATTCTTAACTGCATGATTCAATGGTCAGAGAGTCCGATCCCAATATTTTTCAGGTAATCATTAGGCAACAGTTATCAAGGATCAGAGCAGAGTCTAAAAGAACGTGATAAGTTTTGCATATACTTGTTATCCCGTCCATGATGTTCTCGCACTATGTCCATCAATTTTATTTCAGTTTGCAGAAAATTTGTTTTCATATCCCATGGAACGGCCAATGAAACAGTTTCGTTCTTGAAGTGATTTTCAAATGACATCAACGACTTCATCCTGAAAAACAGCAGCAATACTCGGGGATTCCTGGAAACCAAGGAAGCAAAGACGAAAACAGCAATACTCAAGCTACTTGTGCTTTTACAGCATTTCTTTCACCATATATCGGAAAGAAGCAGGCATATCCACCTTGAATACAGCATCTAGTAGCTGGATAAGCAGATCAGGACTGAAAGGATTGGCAAAGTTGGGCCTAGCGTGGGGGAGTATTCTAACACCATCATTAACACAGTAGGCGGGAGGAGGAAGGGCAATCTTCATATATCGTAAACAGATTTAAATACAATTCGATTTCATCAAAGTTAAACTGGCCCAAATAGTAGCGCACTGTCAAGAAAATATTCCCGATAATTAAAGAGCTAAGAGAAGCAAACACACTATCATAAGAAACCGGAATTTCCCATGAGTTTGAAATAAAATATAAATAAAACTTATCTCTTCCATGCAATTTCTTCAAATCCCTCAGGCAAAGCATCGGGGTTGGTCGTCGAGTCTTCTTGGATAACTGGTCGAAAGCGACTGATCTCATCCGGATTACGAAGCATTTCCAAACCCATAATGATCTTGAAAAACGAGGAAATAAGTAATATGTGAAAAAGAATCAAGTTCATATAGGTACAGAAAAAATACAACGCACTTACAAGTTGCCTGCATGTTTTCTGCACATTCTCTGGCAAATCAGCACCATGCAGAAGTTTTTGCAATCCGCAGAGAGCTGTTTCTATTCTGAAATAACAAAAAATTTAGAAAACATGCAATTTTGCATATTAAAACTTTTTCGCACCCCGAAGAAGAGCACACTTCTATTCCAAGGCGCTGATTTTCCCATGCCCTTTTTCTTCTCGTTCGAAATTTTTTTAATTTGTAAATTTGCTGTGCTGAAGATCGGAAGTTCGACTTCCTTAGAAGGATAGTTAAA